AGTAGTAAGATGGGGTAAAAATGATGTTGAAAAACTCTTCAGGAGACCCAAAGTTGTGTTATGTTCGAATCCCAAATTATTCCGAAAATGATTATGTCACGGTATTGAATTGTTCTCTAAATAGGGGAGGGGAGGTAGTTTGTAGACGACCAGATAGCTTAGTCAGCAGAGCCGCAGTACGGTATTCCGAGGGTCCTAGGTTTGAGTCTCGGTCAGGCTTCACATTAAAAAATATATATATATATATATATATATATATATATATATATATATATATATAATATATATATATATATATATATATATATTTAAATGGAGGTTTTTCAATCATTACTCATGGCGAAAAAAGTATTTAGTGAGTAAAGTATGTAAAGGATCAAAGTAAAGGGATCCTTTTTAGGGGAAACCTCAGATGATTCTTACAGTGTAGAATTACCTTCTGAATGCAAGTGTTGTATTGCTTTGAAAATTGTACATCTTATCTCTAATTAGTGCTGTACAGCTAAATCCTACCGCAGGCAGGCGACCAATAATTTTTGTTAATGCATATTATTAAACATTAACCTATTTAATGATCAACATTATTTTTTTCAACTAACAACAAGGCATTTCTCTAAATCACCTATAGCTCCGCCCTTTCGCTCTACAACATGTCTACACCTTGTTAAATTGCTACATGTAACATGTCACATTTAGATAAGCTAAATAAATGGCACAGCTGAAATGTCACAGAAAACAATGCAATCAGGTAAAAACAATGGAGTTAATGGAATGTGTACATCCTTTTAAAATAAATGGAAAATGTGAGAGAAAAAATACATAGAGATTATTTATTGATACAAATTCGTTATTAGCTTCAAGTTATTCACTAACATTTAAAACCCCTATTGATTTGCTCATTTGAAAAAAACTTTTTTTTCTGTGTGAATGGGGTCCATTTTCAATGAGTTTTCCAGCCAAAAAATGTAATCATTGTATTCTTGATATCAATGATTGTTAATGCATTTTATTCCTATCATGTGAAAGAAAATAATGTTTTGGTTACTTTTTCTATAAAATATAAAGTTTAAAACAGTCAGCAATTTATAACAGTCATTTTTCTTAGAGTTCAAAGGTTATAAAAAAGTTAATATGCAATCATTTGTCTCTGCGTACCCAACATGTATTATCTATGTAATAAATCAGTTGATTGTATCCTCACATTTAGAAACACCTGACCTCGACAAATTTTTTTTTATGTTGGCATTGTTTTGCTAACCTTGACATTTTACAAATCAGAGTGTAAACCATACCTCTAACTCCTCCCTAATATAATGCATTATTGGAATTTGTTAGACTGCGGTTAGACGACAGATTAAGTGAATTTTATTTAGTTAGTACACATTAACCAAAGTTAGACTAAGCAGAAATTTGAAAAATACTACAATGTGATTGGACAAAAAATAATGTTGATCATTAATTCATATGAGCTGCCTATATATGTTTCACCTTTTTCAACAAAATTTGTTTTCAATAAAACAGGCAGAAGTGTTATAATAAAACTATGCAACTAGTGACTATCATACTAATGAATGAATTAACAATTATCAATAAGCATGTAACACAATTTGCCAAAAGTTTGATCAGAGCTACATAAATTACAGATTTTTGCTATGTCAAAAAAAGTGTATGCAAAGGAACCAAATATATATTTCCAAAGCAGTTTAAAATGATGGTGTCACACTGTATAAGTTATCATACTATTAACATAAACCTTTGTAGAAATCAAAAGTAGGCATTCATAGAAAATTCTCATATCATATTCGGTACATTTATGGGCAATTATAATTTTTCTAAATGAATAAATATAAATGAAACTTCTTGTGAGATTTGCAATAGAGTCAAATTCATGCCCTTTCAATTTTAAGGGTTGTTTTTATGCAGTTTTTTAAAATAAATCTTCTATCCACTGGACACGCCTAACAAAGATTTAACAAACTTTTCCATATTTTTCAACTTAAAGATACATTTTCAAACAGTAACAAAAACTAAAATTGTGATCAAACAACAATTTCTCTATGAAATAATTACATTTAGAATTAAAGCTCCATGACTCCAGATATGCCAAAAGAAATTCAAACTTGATAAAAAAAGATATTAAGAAAAGTAACTAGAACTATCACTAAATGTGATTAATACCCCCACAAGACTGCTTCGGAAATGAGGATGTTACTAGTAACAGAATACCTTGTAAAAGAATTGAAATATAGAGTTATGGTTGTGGGCAATTAAAGATAGTTGTGGTTCTTATATGTTGCATTTCCTTTCAATGTGGTTGGCCATTGATGAAGTTTAATTGAATTACTCTGTAATAAGTCCAGAATGACAAAGAAAAGGAACAAAGGGCAATAACTCTATAAATACTGAAGATAGAGTTATAGTTCTTGTGCACTGCACTTCCTCTTATTGTGCTTGACCATTGTATGAAGTTGTTTTGAATTCCAACCAGTACGTTTTAAGTTATGCTCCTGACAAGGAAAAGTATCAAAGGGCAGTAACTCTGTATTTTGTCAAAATGGAGTTATGGCTCTTGTGCACTGCACTTCCTCTTATTGTGCTTGACCATTGTATGAAGTTGTTTTGAATTCCAACGAGTACGTTTTAAGTTATGCTCCTGACAAGGAAAAGTATCAAAGGGCAGTAACTCTGTATTTTGTCAAAATGGAGTTATGGCTCTTGTGCACTGCACTTCCTTTTAATGTCCTTGACAACTGTATGAAGTTGTATTGAATTCCAAACAGTAGTTTTCAAGTTATGCCCCGGACAAGGAAAAGTAACAAAGGGCAATAATTCTGTAATAAGTCAAGATGGAGTTATGGTTCTTGTGCACTGCACTTTCTCTCAATGTGCTTGACCATTGTATGAAATTATATTGAATTCCAACCATTAGTCTTCAAGTTATGGTCCGGACAAAAAAGGCAATGGAATAGTAACAAAGGGCAAAAACTCTGTAATTACTTTAGATAGAGTTATGGTTCTTGTGCACTGCACTTCCCCTTATTGTGTTTGACAATTGTATGAAGTTGTTTTGAATTCCAACAAGTAGTTTTCAAGTTATGCCCCGGACAAGGAAAAGTAACAAAGGCCAATAACTCTGTAATTAGTCAAGATAGAGTTATTGTTCTTATGCACTGCACTTCCTCTCAATGTGCTTGACCATTGTATGTAGTTATATTGAATTCCAACCATTAGTCTTCAAGTTATGGTCCGGACAAAAAAATCAATGGAAAAGTAACAAAGGGCAATAACTCTGTAATTACTTTAGATAGAGTTATGGTTCTTGTGCACTGCACTTCCCCTTATTGTGTTTGACAATTGTATGAAGTTTTTTGAATTCCAACCAGTTGTTTTCAAGTTATGCCCCGGACAAGGAAAAGTAACAAAGGGCAATAACTCTGTAATTAGTCAAGATAGAGTTATGGTTCTTGTGCACTGCACTTCCTCTCAATGTGCTTGGCCATTGTATGTAGTTATATTGAATTCCAACCATTAGTCTTCAAGTTATGATCCGGACAAGGAAAATGCAACGGACGTCTGGACCGACCGACCGACCACCGGGTGACTCCTATATAACCCCCCAAACTTCGTTTTTTGGGGTATAAAAAGTGCAATAAAAACCTTACATTATGTGCCATTAATGACCGATTTTGCAACATTCAAATGATCACCATATTTCTACTGTGTGACTAACCTCGGGCTATTTTTGCATATTTTGGGGGTCTTTTTGGTAAATTTTATGGATTGTGTCATTAGCAATATGTACAATAGTCATAACTTTCTTTGTTAACTTCACAGTATTTTACTTTGAAATACATTTTCAAAATTATCATGAAAAATAACGATAACCTGGATGTATGCTGCTTCAAGATAAAAACAAGAGCCCGGTTTGAGCCGGGTGATGCTCCCCGAATAGGTTTTGGACACAGGAAAGTACACCTCTTGTAGTTTCAGAGTTATGTCCCTGGAAAAAGTTCAAAAGTGCAATAATTCCAAAATTAGGAAAGGCAGAGTTACTGTTCTTTGCACTGCATTTCTAATCACTGTAATCTATCAACTTACAAAGTTCCTTGTTGATATCTCTTATGGTTTCCGAGTTATGTTCCGGACAACTTCAAAAAGTAAAAATAAACAAAGGGCAATAACTCCAGAATTAGGCAAGGCAGAGTTATGATTTTCGTGCACTGCACATCTACCCATTGAGATACATCTACCTACAAAGTTTCATGTTAATATCTCTTATAGTTTTACAGCTATGTCCAGTACAAGATTTTTCTAAAAGGGGAGATATTTAAAAAATGAGGCTTAACAGAGTTACGGTTTTTTGCACTGCACTTCTACTCAATGAAATCTATCTGCCTACAATGTTTCATCTTGATATCTCGTATAATTTTAGATGTTCCGGACAAAGTTCAGTGTTAAAATTAACAAAGGGCAATAACTCCAAAATTAGGACAAAAAGAGTTATTGTTCTTATGCACTGCACATCTACCCATTGAGATCTATTCACCTACAAAGTTTCATGTTGATATCTCTAGAGTTATATGCCCCGGACAAGATTTTTCTATAAGGGGAGATTATTCAAAAATCGGGCAAAATAGAGTTATGGTTCTTTGACACTGCACTCCCCCTCAACGCCCTCTACCACTGTATGAAGTTTAAACAAATTATCTCCAAGGGTTTTCAAGTTATGCTCCGGACAAGAAAACGGACGGACAGACGGACGGACGGACAAGGCGCCGACTATATGCTCCCCCGAAATTTTTTTCGGGGAGCATAAAAACATCCTATTATATATAACATACTTGAGTATCTTTATACCTGAGAGTTGTGGTATCAAACCCCAGGCCAGTGGGGCCATTTTCTCTTTATTATTACGTTTAAACATTACTTTTGTACTTTTAGATTAGTTTAAGATAGAATACATTATCAATTTTAATTCTATACTTATTATAGGTATTCATTGGTAATAAATCATTCATTATTCAAAATTAAATGAAAGAGCATGGAAAAAATATTTTCAAGATCTAGTAAAAATCTAAATGTTTTTAAAATCTAGTAAAATCAAAACTATACAATAAATATATTAATAAACATACTATAAGTACATTATAACAATACATGTATTTTGGATAATACACTCTAAGCTGAAATATTTTAAATGGGTGTGGTAGTATAAATGTTTGTAAATATTGTAAGTTATCTATTAGTAATCAATATGTCTGTTCTTAATAAAAGAAACTTGCACTTGATATTTTTCTGTACAAACAAATTTCAAACATTGATAAGTTAGCTCATCTTCTTGGTGATGAACTGGCATCTCTATATACAAATGTGGTTCTGTTCAATCATAGGTTATCTCATGTTCTTTGTGATAAACTCTCACCTTGAAGTTTATAAAGTTCTGTTCATACATATTTCAAGTGGCTCATTATAGTTCTATACATATTGTGATATTTCAAATATTGGAAAGTTATCTCACATTTTTAGTGAAAGACTGGTGACTAGTTTTCTCCTGAATGTCATTTCTTTTTCTAATTAGATTAAGTCAATGTACTATATTCATGAGGCTTTCGACATCACATCTAAGAACTCATTATCCTATTATCCACCATTGCAAAGGGCAGGCAGTCCACTGGTATTCCAATTTCTTTTCAGTTTTGAAAAACTCAAAAACCGGTATCGATTTCTCTAGTGTTTCCGACATTAAGCCACATCTATCTTCCCTCATCACTCCTGCTATTACTGTCCTTTCATACAAGCGCCCCTGTTTCCTGAAAAGTGACTTGCAGAATTAAAATTTCATTTTTTCGAAGGGTGGGGAGGGTGGTGGCGGGGCACTTTAAAGCACATGTTATATGCCCAATTTCCAGCTTTACTGGTTGAGGAAGACCTCAGGTGCCCCTATGTTGTGTATGATTTCAAGCACTAAACAGCACCCGAGTACAATCATCAATGTTCCATAAATGAGCTGGATAGCTTTCTCACATGAAAGAATCCATAAACCTTTGCAGAGCTCAAACCTACAGCAGTGAAAGGCAGTTGGTTTAATGTCAAGAAACTAAACCAATCTGCCACAGACACCCCAAGTAATTTTATCTATTTGCTAAGCAGCAATTTTTACAAAATTATTTAAATTTATAAATGTGAGTGATTCTGATAAACTATAGACAGCTAAGTCAAGATAAGATTATCATATATGTCAGACAGCTTACTGTGAATATTCAATATTTTAATGTGAATTGTCTCGAGGTGAAAAGGAAAGGAAAGCTGAATTCCTTGTCACAATTCTTCTTGCTACCTACTTTTGTTCCTAATTGCTAGTATAAGATGTAGTTTAAATACACTGTAATTTTTTATTTATTAATTTGGCTTTTTGTGACAATAGACTATCCAGTGACAGAAGCTCACTGACTTAAAATAAACTGTCCTGTGTCGGCCTTTAAACAAGTCAAGAATAAAAAAGCTATTAGAATATAATTATTAAGAATATAATTATTAAGAAATATCATATACAAATACTTCTAAATAATAATGTACCTCTTCCTTAAATGCCCATGCTGTTGAAAGAAACATTTTTCCATTTATTCACTTCAAGGTTAGTCAGATTGACAGTCTCACATTTTAGCCTTTATCTCTCTTGATTCCATCCTCATTGACCCTAAAGCATCCTTAAAATCTATATCCTGCCCTTCACATTCACAAATCTGACATGTAGGCCTACCTTCTGAAAAGATAAAATATAATTATTATGAGATATACATACATGTATAGTATCCTAATAATTATGTTAGTTCATATCAAATAAATAATTTAAGAAACAATTTGTTCAAAATTACCCAAGTACAAAGATTTTTAAACCAAATCTATGATATAATAAAATAGTAAATACATTCTTTATTTACAGTCATGTACCAAGTCATGGGACAGGTCTAGTATAGTAATTATAGTGTATATACAGTGTGTACTATATGTCTTTACAATCTACTATACTGTCCTGAAATTTTAAGAAAACAACTATCTTTTACATCCATTTCTCAGAAGTTGCAAAACAAGTAAATGAAATTGTCCTGGGTTTGTATCATTCTTCACAAAAGCTTCAAGGACATTTATGAGTGAATCAGGTTCTATCATGAAAGACTGTTGGGTTCAAGTTTGAAGACATTAATTAAAAAAAACAGAGTTGTAGCCACTTATAGCAAAAAATCAAGCAAAATTTAGACATTTTACCTTGAATGTTAACATGAAGGTCAAGTTTAGTCTGGTCTACTTGAAGGGTTGTTGTGACCAAGTATGAGGACAATACACCAAGATCTGAAAAAGTTATGAACAAGGTTAAAGTTTGTTGACAGCAATGGGAAAGCCGTCATGACTGTAACAATATATTTTGGTACGTCTACCCTATACGCACTGTTGAGCCTAGCCGTTCTGTATTTTTTCAATAATAAATAAATGTAATGATGAAGTCAGTAACTTGCAAGTCTTCTTACATTTTTACAAAGAATTAACATATATAAAATTTATATTGTTTCTTAATAATTCTATGATGATGTTCAGCCATAATTTATATTATAACAAGATATCCGAAAGATCTATCAGAAATAAATTGGCCCGTGGACTTTAATGTCAATTATAGAGCTCTTATGCAAAATGTAATGGTAAGCAAACATCCGGCATGAAATTTTCAAGTAGCTAAAAGTTAAATTATTAAAAATACTTTGTCATAATCCAACTACAGCTGGAAATTGACCCACATGTTTGATTACAAATGTTTTACATCAATATTGTCCATAGAAATGATTTAATAATTTTCAGTCTATTTCTCTTTGCGTTTTCACACAGACTTAAACTATTCATTCACGCCATGATTTTCAGAAGGAAAAAAATCTTCTGATCATCAAACACTAAAAATTAATATACCAACTGTAAATTGTATATGATATTCAATAAAATCTTCTTTTAGAAAAACAAGCTTGCGTATTATTGTTTTAGGCAACTCATTTTTAAAATGCTGTACGGCTAGCCTCAACAGCGAGTATATGCTTGTCGTATGTGACTCCCGTACAGCCAGCACTTTTGTCAAACAATACTAGTTTATACTGCTAGCCGCTGCCATTGTAAATTATTCCTTCCTCTACCAACTCACATACTTCCATCAACAAAAATTATGAATACTATTAGTATAATAATCATATAGATGTTAGACAATAAAAGTAATGATGACTAAATATGATGTATATAAAATTCCGCTGCTAAAGACAAGTTGTTTTTATTGATTCAATGTTTGTATCAACAAAGGTAATTAGGTAAGTTTCATCACCGTATGATGACTTTTAAATTTTTGTTTAAAGTGAAAATTGATAGTCATCAAATTATTCTGAATATAACATACTGTTATATTTAATAATATAATCAGTAATCTTATTATTATTGACCTGTGGTTTTGAATTTTAATACAACTACTATTTTCATATAAATGTCTATGACTTTACAAATAAAAAATCTATAAAATTATGGACTGACCATAAATATCATGAAATCCTACATCTGATGAAGGCAAAACTGTGGAAATCAGATCTACATGTGCTTGACAAAATGTAATACATCATTAAAGCAACGTAAACTAATATGTAGGAAGATGCATGGTAACATAATGTGAAGGAGAAGGCATGGTTAACAGATCTTAAGTATCTGAAAATTTAACTAGACGCGTATACCATGTGTGTGCGTGCGTGTGTGTGTGCGCGCGCTTAATGAGGATCCACCCGCCCGCAAGGCCACAAAATGCAGCTTTCGTTGTCGAGTGCGGATCCCAGACATGTCACCAGTCATGCCCTTAAAATGTTAATTTTGAAGCACAAAGTGGTAATAGTTTACCTTCATGCAATTTCCACGGACTATAGACCCTTTTACAATACGATTTTCCATAGTTTCACGCATACGCATTCTGCGTAGTGCAAAAACCCAATAACGATTATTACAATTTATCATATTCGAAGGCTTTAATAGACGTGATTCAAGTTATGTCACCCAGAAAACCGTAATTTTGGGATGGCTTAAAGCAATACGTACTTAAAACGTTAATTGTATCTATAACAGATATCGAAACTATAAGGGAATGAAAAAAGCGCGTGTACAAAAGTCCCTTTTCAATATCATTAGACGACTTTTGGCTGTTGGCGCAAAGCAAATGTCCTGAAATTCCAGAACAATTAGGGCTAAAAGGTAAACATAGTAGTAAGATGGGGTTAAAATGATGTTGAAAAACTCTTCAGGAGTCCCAAAGTTGTGTTGTGTTGTGTTGTGTTGAAATACTAGTTCATGGTTTAGTCAATTCCCACATCGATTTTTGTAATGGACTTTTTGCAGAAATACCAGTTTATCAAATAGATCGACTTCAGAGACTCCAAAACCAGGCTGCTCGGGTAGTAATGAATGTGTATGACCAACCTAGTGCTGATCTCAGAAAATCTCTACATTGGTTACCAGTCAAAGCACGGATTTTGTTTAAAGTGATTCTTATTGTTTTCCGAGTAAAACATGGAACAGCTCCAACATATCTCATAACTTTGTTTAATTGTGTGAGAAGAAAATACAGTCTAAGATCAGCTGCTGATGACACTTGTACACAGTTTGTTGTGCCAAGACGCAGGACCAGACTTGCTGACAGATCTATTTCTGTTATGGGACCTAAATGGTGGAACGCCCTACCAAAAGACTTATAGTGCATTGCATCGGAAATTGCATTCAGAAAAGACTGAAAGCACACCTCTTTGAACAATTTTATAAATAAACAGTTTCGTCAAATGTGTACATGTATATAGTTTTAAACTGTGGAAATGACTTTGCCATTATAGGATCTTGTGAAGCGCAACAGAATATAACTGTATAAAGTGTCGCGCTATAAAAATACCTATGATTGATTGATTGATTGATTATGTTCGAATCCCAAATTATTCCGAAAATGATTATGTCACGGTATTGAACTGTTCTCTAATTAGGGGAGGGGAGGTAGTTTGTGGGAGGCCGGATAGCTTTGTCAGTAGAGCCATCGTTTTTTGTTTACTACATCAGACTGTGCAGACATGCTTTTTGTGCTCCTCAAAAATAGTGATTTACATATGGATTTACTATAAATATTTTGGATATTTTTATATTGTTGGATTCCTTAAAATTATCTGCATTAAATTATCAAGTAATTAGAAAGAAATATTCACTAGATAACTGGAAAATGGGTGAAAACTAATCAAAAATAATTGTTTTATATAGAGTAAAAGGATTAACAAGGAATTATAACTTGCATAAACTTGCATTCCTGATAAGATATATCAGATTGTGTTAAGAAGGATAAAAAAATTTTTCATAGCTTTAAGTGCTAACAACAACAATGGCTAATCAGTCTTCCATTGATATGGACAGCTTTGACGGCTTTTCTCAAAGTGACTTAAGAGGGACAATATCAGTGGACAATATGTTTGATCTATATGTTAGTCCAGCAAGTGATAATGTAACAATCACATTCTTTAAGCTATCAACACATGAAAAAATGAGAGAAATTCTTCAATTAAAATACAACATGGTTGAGACCCCTGACAAAAAGGGATTAACAACAACTTTAACACTGTCTGAGAAAAAAGTTGTGATAACAATTTATCACAATACATTAACAATGATTGTGCAGGGTGCAGGCTGCAGAGATTGGATTAACATTTTCCTAGATGATTGTAAAAGTGAGCTAGAAGCACAAGAAGAATCAAACAAAAAAATGCCAGCGATAGGCAAAAATATCTCCATTACATCCAATGAAAATAAAAGTGAAATATTGTCTTCCAAACAGACCTTTAGAAACAATAAAACTACCTCCCAAAAAGCGATCTCAATTCAAAGTGAACATCCTACCAAAACAGCATCAGCAACTGAAGCCTACAGTGTGAAATTAAATCACCCTAGCTTTGGGGTTTCCTATGAAATTACACCTCTCACAAAACCTAAGAAAAAAAAGAAGAGGCTCTTCAGCTTTAGTTTTGGGAAAACAATAACATCCACTCCCGTAAATAGTCATCTCTATCAGAACAACAAAAAAACTGAGTCTGTCACCAGTACAAACTACCAAACACACCATACTTCATTAAAAGAAGAGACTGATGTAAAATCCATCATCAGTATAAATGATGAGGAGAACCATGAAAGAAAGATTGACACAGTCAGTCTGTCTCACTCGGCTATTAGTTTTTGTACAGAATCTGACTACAAAGAAATGGGGACCACAAAAACAACATGTAAGTGCAACGAAAACAACAATTCTCCAGACCTGAATATGAAATACGAAAAAAGCCTAGAGAACATTAATAAGCTCAAAAATGAAAATATGAAACTCAAGTCCTCCAACGAAATTCTACAAAAAAACATCAATGAAAATAGCAAAGCAGTAAACAGTGAACAAAGTGCTAAAATTCTTATACTGGAAGAAGAAATGAAGAAACTTAAGAATACAAACCAGTCCTTAAAACTGGAGAATAAAGCATTGCGGGCAGAAGTTTCTTCAAAACAGACAAATCAAGATACTATAAATGCACTTCAGTCTGATGTAATGTCAATGAAGGAACAATTTGAGGAGTTTACAAAATCACTAAATCAGGTGAAGAGAAGAACAGAGGATGTGTCATCAAAAACTGACATATTCTTTCTTCAAAATGAAATAAAAACTCTGCGAAAAGAACTAAAAGATGAAAATAATGATGAATGTGCATCATCACAAATGCAAAAAGAAATAAATTCAGTGCAAGATAAAGCATCAAGTAAAGAAACAAACGTGAATGAGCCTGCATCTAAATACAGGCAATATCCGTACAACTCCCCGAACAAAACACACACACTTGTAAGTAGTACAAGTAAATCTAGAAAACATGAAGTTCTCATCTTAGGGGATTCTGTGACGAAAGGCCTGGTGGGAAGAAAGATGAGCAAAAACAATATAAATGTCAACATCAAATCAAATAGGGGTGCAACTATCTTAGACATCCACAAAGCAACTTCTGAAATGAAAACAAACCTTGCCAAAGAAGCAGATATCATCATAATACAGGCAGGCATAAACAATATCTCAAATGCTGACACCCCAACAACAATATGTGAGGATTTCAAAACCCTGGTAAATTCACTGCAATCTGCAAATCAAAAGGCAAAAATTGCCATATCCTCTATCCTGCCAAAAAAGAGAGACATGTTGTCTAGAAGAAATATCCTTCAAACAAACAGCCTTCTTGAAGAACTTTGCAAGAAAGGGGAATTTGTTTTCATCAACAGTGCTAATGCATTCATGACAGACGATAAAGTCAATCAAGGCCTCTTCTATGATGAGGTACATCTAAATAAAGAAGGCTCAGTCTTGCTAGGAAAACAGCTAAATGCAGGAATTAGAGATATCCTCGGCATCACCAACCAAGAACTTGTACACAGAAATAGATCAAGTACCAATAATACTTCCAGAAAGCAAGGAAATTTTCACAACGTCCACAGCAGGCAGAGACATTTTCGGAGAAACCCATATTGCGATGCCTTGAATCCCTGGCCCAGAACACCTTGGATGATGCCACACTGGTAAATAACACTGTACTTGATAATTCAGCTATAGCCAATACTGAACCAAAACAGACTGTGAAAAATGTCACTGATAGAACATCATCACATAACCTTTCTCTGACAGAAGACAATGATAAAGTAAATACAAGTCCCATTTTAGATGAAATACAATTTGACAAAAAAGGTATTAACTTTATGCACTTAAATATCCATTATCTTTATCCAAAAATAGATGAAGTAAAACACCTGGTAGACAAATATCAAGATATAGACATTCTGGGACTACAAGAAACTTTTCTTAGTGATGTTTTTTCTGATTCAGAGATATGTTTAAAAAATTATCAACTGTTTAGACGCGATAGGATATCAAATGGTGGTGGAGTTGTGTTATATGTTAAGTCTACAATACCATGTGAATTAAGATCTGACTTAGAATCAGAGGATATTGAGTCAATATGGCTTGAAATAAAACTTGACAAACAGAAACCATTTCTGGTGGGTTACATCTATAGGCCACCTTCATCACTGGCATCATGGAATGATAAAATTGAAGAAATCCTTGATAAAATATTTATTGAAAACAAAGAATTAATTCTTTTTGGAGATTTCAACTATAATTTTGTTACAAATTGCTCAAATAATACAAGGTGGAATAATATTATTAACACATTTAACCTTTCTCAACTTATAACACATCCTACAAGAGTCACACCATTGACTTCAACCACTATTGACCACATTTACAGTAACCAGCCACATAATGTATCCTACACTGCAGTCCCTATACTCTCTATAAGTGACCATTATCCTATATTTTTCACACGACGAACAAGTAAAACTGTTAACAAAGGTCCAATGCATGCCACTATAAAATATAG